TATATTCTCTATTTTCAACAACAGAAAAAAGATATAAGTAGGGATGTTTATTTTGTGTGGCTTTGAGCTTGGATTACCCGTATTGCAAGTGAAAACCTGTCCTGCCTAGCTTTTGCAAATGGCAGCGCTGAACATTGTACCTGCGTATTGGAAGCAGCAACTCTGTCATTGCCAGTGGTAAACTGGGCTGTTTGTGCTGAATTCTCCTTAAAGAATTATGCACAGGCTGTTTCCTTCTGAGCATTTTCTATAGACACAACAAGTTAATAGACAAATTTCCTCTGATTAAGATAGCTTTAGAATTTAGTGAATTTTCTCTTGCTAGGTGGGATGACAACTGCTATTAGTAAAAGCTAGTTTTATTTTCATGTAATACTTATGTTTAGTTTTGTCAGTGAACTCTTACTAGTGAAAAATATTGAGGTGTAAAAATAGGCAGAGTCACAGATAAGCAAACAACTGTATATAATTGTTTGAATTTATTTATTTTTGCTTCATAGCTTATGTGTGAATTAGGAAATGATGTTATAAATAGAATATATGAAGCAAGGTTGGAAAAAGTGGGAGTGAAGAAGCCACAGGCTGGAAGCCAAAGGTAGGATTTACTTTGATTTCATTTGTTTATCTTTTCATTATGTTAAAAATATTAATTTAAGCAATTTGCATCATCCTTTAATAAAAATAAAACCCAATTTATCCATTTTGAATAACTGATCTTTGTCTTGTTCTGTACCACTGTTTCTGAGTTATGTCTTTCAAATACTGTATGATTAACTCATGGAGCAATGCATTCATCTGGTCATTTATAAGTTCTTTGCTCAAATAAGCCAGCTCTCTGCTCTAATGGCAGTTCTCATGATCTAACTCTGCATCTTTCCATTCCACTTTTATCCTTCCCTTACCTGCTTCTCTGAAATGTGCCTTTCTTCACATGTATTTTTCTACTTCACTTTGGATTTACCTTGACATGTTCCTGGCATGTATCTGAACTTTTCACTCCAGCTTCATCTCTCCCTTGCTCTCCAGCTGATGCTGTCATTTGTAACTGCCTTCCTTTGGCTTATGTCACATCTCCACTAGCCTTTTTCACTTGCTCTTTTCCCATGTCTATCCAGTGACCCATGTCCCCATCTTAATGATTCTGAAATTTCAGTTGGTTTCTACCAGTGCTGCTGCTGCCTCTTGTCTTTCCCTTTTTTTCCTGTTCTTGCAGAAGTGCATCTAATCTCTCAAGCAAGGCCTGCATAAATTCTTTGTCTGTTTGTTGTTATCTCATGCTGCAAACATGGCGCTACCTGTGTGTTCCGCATTAACTTCTCTTTGGCTTTACAGGTTCTCTCTTGACTCATACCAGAGTCCACAATCTACCATGTTCTTGGATTTGGTTGTGGCAGTCTCAGACCATGACTCTTAATCTGAGTGATTTCACTTTTAATAGTAGTTTAGCCATAATTCATACTATTCTTTTCCTTGCTGCCTCCTTGAGCCTCCAGCTTTAAAATGTGCTGCCACTTAACTATCTTTAGGATTCCTTTTCTTTACTCTTTTGTGCGCTGATCACCCGAGATCTCTGTCTTCTCTAATTAACCTTTAGTGGGTTTGTGTTACCTCTGTTGCTTCTCTTGGCCCCTCTCTGCTTGTCTCATTCACTCCTCCTTTTTCAGGTCTTACTTCCAGCTTTCAATGAAAAGATACTTCTTTCCCTGGCGTCCTGCTCTCTCACCAATGTGGACATGCTGATTCCTACTTTGCCGTCTGCTTAGTACCCTCTCAGCCAGCTCTGCCTGGTCTCAGAGGTGCTCCTGGAAGGAGTCTGTGGTTGTCTTGACTTTTTGTTTGCAGTTGTTCTTGAGCTCAGCTTCTGTTCCTGGATCCTCAGAGTGCTTTCTTCTCCCCATCTTCATCCTGCCTTACACATGAGCTCTGTTGCTTTACAGCAACTTTCTGCTGGCAGGGGCAGGAGACTTGCTAGATGTTCCTGCCAGGGACAAATGCTTTACAGCCATTTCTGTTGTAGCATCATTACAATCCCTTTCATTAATCCCTACTGTTGCGTATGTGTCTGTCAATGGTACCTGGGGATTATGAGAAAAGTATTTGAAATAGATTATGCTATTGGTGGCTGGGCGTCCCCAGGGCTTTGATTGTTATGTCGCCCTGATATTTCATTACCAAATATTGTAATTTACATTTACCTAAGAATCTGTATATATTCTATATTAGTTGATTTTTAACAAGATGAAATTCCTTTATAAATGATTAGTACCAAGAAATAAGGTAGAGTAACTAATGCTAATTTCTTTTGCATTACTTTCAAAAGTTTTCCAGCTGGAAGGACTGTGTATACACTGCATATAAGCTTAAAATACTTTTATTTTGAAGTTTATGCAAAACTTGATCAAGAGTCCAAGAAGTGAGACAAAGCAATCTTCCTTTTTCTGAAAATGTGCTGTAAGAGTGTCTTATGTGCAATGTCAAGCTACAGAGGTTTTCTAACTGGCTTTATATGAAATGGCCGTGCTTATAAGAATGAATAGAATAAAATGATAGCTTGCTAACTCCTGGGATTTTTGTGTATGACAGGCAAGAGAGAGAGGCATACATCAAGGCAAAATATGTGGAAAGGAGGTTCGTAGAGAAGCAGCTTGCACCAGTACCTCTGCTTGAATCTGGAACAAAAGCTTTGCCTCAAAGTCAAGAGGAGAAAAGGCAGAGTGGCACTGAAAAATCCCTTTTGTCAGGTGAACAAGGTTCAATGTCCCACAAAGGTATTTAGGTGCTTCTCTTGTTAGATAAAGTAAACATGTTCTCTTTTAAAGTGATTTTCTGTCTTTACTGATATGCTGCCTCACACAGGTAAATTAGAACCCTCTCCTAATGGGTTGTAGCCTAGTTCAGAAGCATGGGAGAAAAAATGGCAACTTTTGACTTGTTCAGGGATGTGCATTATTTCAGGTGGGAAGAGTTTGTGAAGTGGGGGTGCTTATCATTCAGAAACATATTAACCACCTTCTTTCCTCGTATTTTCATCCTTTTAATTTTTTCCAATGACGTTCTTTCCTGGCCTATCCCTTCCTTACTGCCTGCTTTGTGCTTTGCTAACTTGCATGTCCCAGCGGTTGCTGTAAGTAGCGACGAGGCGAGGCGGGAGTCTCTGTTCTGTCCTGATGAACTAGATTCACTCTTCTCCTACTTTGATACCTCTTCAAAACTACGTAGTAGTAAGTACTATGGCTATGGCGTGTTCAGTGTTTGCACTGGTGATCCATTGTGTGTTGTGGCCATCTCCCTGCCTTTAATCCATTGTCTCCAGGCTACTGCATTGCTTAGTGTTCTCATGAAATAACTTAAGCTTTTTTACTTATCCTGATCCTTTACCTTCTTAATCTTTGTGAAATTTATTTTTGTTAAAAATGTTATGGTTGAATGTGTAATTTCAGAGCTTCTACGGAAATGTTAAGAATATTGAGTCATTGAAAAATAATGATAAATTCAGGACCAAGTATAAGAGCTTGCTTTATTATCATGGTATTTGTGAAGAGTAGATAGCTTATAGTCTGCATAGTAATTACCATTTCTTCCCCAAACAGTAAGAAGCAGTGACAGTGGGATCCATCAGAGTGCTGATGACAGCAGGGAACACCTTGCCTCTACTATATCAGCTAACAGTTTGTATGAACCAGGTGTGTTGGGCTTTGCATTTCAAATGAAGGTTTAATCACTTCTCTCTGACAGCAAGTAGATTAGAACTTAGTGATACAGCTCGTGTGTCATCTATCCTGATTGAAACATCACTTTAACAAGCATGGTAGTTCCTTGAGTAAACTTTCTTTCAAGCTTGGTAGAAAGAATAACAGAATACATGATTGATCTAAATTAGTTCAAAGAATACATCCATTTTTCTGTCAGAAGGTACTCAGCTGTACCTTTGTTTTTAACATATAGGGCAATGCTGCATTTTGATGCAGATGAACTTCCATAGAAATGTATTTCTTTATGAATAGCTGAATCCTTGGAGATGGAGTTCCTGTTGAGTTACAGATTGTTCAAGTATCTCAAAACCTACTATCTTGCTTAATTTTCTTCTGATTTCTGGCTTTCTGTTCAATTTACCACCTCTTTAAATGCTACTTATCTTTATGCAAATTTCTACAAATTGATGGAATTATTTAATATCTCGTATTACCATTCTAGACTGACAGATATATTAAGCACGGCTTGTTCACTGCTATCAAAACATCCAAAACACTTATTTATAAAGCAGGCATGTGCCTTTTTTTTTTTTTTAAGGACTTTTCTGAGGTACATGTTAGATCCAGTACTTTACAGTTGTGGTTTCTAGGCAAGTAGCAAGTGGCTTGAATATTTTGAGTGCATTTTAGAAGTCCTTTTGGGATGCTGCAATTAAGGAAAGTTTATATAAAAGTTACTACATCAGACTTCAGTCTGTTTAACTTGTGTTGAACTGAAAAAGATCATTCTTTAGTCAAAAAGATTATATTCCTAGGAAGTAATCGGTATGTGATGGAAGTATATTTCAATTAAAATGGCCTTTCAGAACAGTATTAGCTTACTTATATTCAGGTGTTTGATGCTGTTGCAAATAAAGATACATTTGAATGACTCATTTTTTTAATAGTTGATATTTATTTTTATAGCCTTGTTGTATAGGATAAAACATATTACTTGATTGTCTCATTTCTGAGAAGTGATTAGAGCTTGGGTGAAGGATATTGATGAGTACCACTAACATGAAGATGATGATCTTACTGGGCAGTAGTAACTTTGTGAAGTGTCTGTGCCTGACTGCTGGAGTAGAGCTAAAGGTGTCTTTGACTTACTTTGGCAGACAGGGGCAGCAGTGCAGAATATTGTGTTCTGCAAAGTCTGAGCTACCTCACGCCGGAGAAGTGATAATTTCAGTCCGAATCCTAGGAGGATGCTTGGCAAAAGCAAGAATTAGATAAGTTTTTTTACACACACGCGCATACACACACGCACGCTTACTTATACATATATGTGTGTGTGCACGTATATATGTTTATTTTCCCTTTCAGAGGCAGACAAGCAAGAGCCTTCAGTGCTGTGTGATTCCAAACAGTTCAATCCAGGACTGCAGCTTTATCGAGCAGCCTTTGAGAAGAACCTTCCCGCTATGGCGGAAGCTTTGGCCCATGGAGCTGAAGTGAACTGGGTCAACGTAGAAGAGAACAAAGCGACGCCGCTCATCCAGGCCGTGCGGGGGGTGCGTGATCTGCAGCACGGCCACTAATGGGGAAGAGGAGACGGGAAACAGAATAATACGGAGATTCCCTATCACTGTTCACTAGTGAAAGGTCATGGGACAGTGGAGTTGTCTTTACAAAGTTCTCTCAAAACTGTTTCTGAGCTTTTTTTTGTGTGTGTGTGTGAATGTTTTATTTGGGGTTATATAACCTAGCAGTGTTTTAAGATTAGAGGCAGGTCCCTTTCATTTCCTTTACCACAGGGCACAGTGAGAAGATAGAACAAGATTTGGCTCTGTTTCTAGTGATTTGGCGCTAAGTTGTTTCTCTGCTTTCATTCCACAGGGCTCTTTGGTTACTTGCGAATTCCTACTGCAGAATGGTGCCAATGTGAACAACAGGGATGTGAAAGGAAGAGGACCCCTGCACCATGCCACGCTTCTAGGACACACTGGGTAATTACTGTTCCAGAACTTGTAAATGTCCAGATTTGCTCTGGGAGTTAATTTGAGGCTCCTTCAAATCCCCAGATACATGGACCTTTTAAGATATTTCATATAATCCAGATTTTTCTTAACTTTTTTTGATGAACAAGAAAATAACATTTTAAGTCAGCAGCCTTATCTAGCAAAACACTCTTATAAACAATTAAATCCATTTTGTAAAAACATGTATTTAATAATGCTTAGAAATACTGTGATCTTCTAGTGCAGATGTGACATGCATTTTAGTTTTTAGAGAATGAGAAGCAGGTAGGAGAAATAGGTGGTGAATGAGAACCAGGGCTGTTTCTGGTTTACTTCTCTGGTCTTTTACCAAGTGTATCATTTCAAATTGTACTATGTACAAAATGTACACATCTTGACTATTGGAACGATGAATTATGAAAGTCCTATGTGCCAACGGGATACAAATGAAAATGTAATAATAGGATTTGCAGTGCCAAGACTCTTTGCATGTCTGAATTCTGACAAGTGTTAGTTGACAGCTTGAGACTTGTGAAGAGGTAAACTCTGTCAGTATGCCCTCTCTGTATAAATGAATAATGGCAGTAGCACAGAAAAAATATGGAATCAGTCTCCACTGGTGTAATGGACATCAGCTTTTCAGGATTCTGTGCTGTATCGATGCATCCTGCTCACTGACTCTCTTCCATGATGGTAAAATGGATGAGGTCTTATGGTTCTGCAGTCTAAGATGACACAGGAAAGTCGAAGCCTGCTGTTAAATGGTTTAATTCCTCTTTGTCCCAGCATGATTTGACATCTTACCTGTTCTTTTAATGTGGATTAAATAACTGTAGATTTTTCTTAGTGCCATGTTAATGCAGCACTACTGACATGCTTCTGTGACCTGTTCAAGAGACTTTTAATAGTTTAAGCTGAACATACTGCATCTAGTTTGTTTGTTCAATTGCTCTTGTTTTCTTTTGTTGATCTGGAAATTATTCTTCAATGCTTTTTCTAAACAGACAAGTGTGTTTATTCCTGAAACGAGGAGCAAACCAGCATGCTACTGATGAAGATGGGAAAGATCCGTTGAGTATAGCTGTAGAAGCTGCAAATGCAGATATTGTAACATTGTAAGTCACTTACTTTGCTTTTAACTAGGTAATAGGTTTTCCTATTCTGCTTTCAAGTTTAATATGTAAGTCATGGCAAAATTCTTCTGCATAGAAGCACAGAGAGCAATAAAAGAAAATCGAAGTGGGTGCCTTTCAATAGTTGACCTCGCTAATGAGATTGAGAAACAAACTGTAGTTTTTGGATTGCACTCCCTTTCAGTGCCTTAAACATGATATCCTTTTGTTTTCTAAACCACAGGTTGCGTTTAGCAAGGATGAATGAAGAAATGCGTGAATCAGAAGGACTGTATGGACAGCCAGGTCAATACTCTACTAATAACCATACTGAGATGCAGTATAAGAAATGTATTCAGGAATTTATCAGTTTACAATTAGATTCTTAGTTTTGGAGCAAAATTTAAAGTAGCATCATACAAAATGTTTTTTATAAACAGCATATACGTGTTCAAGCAACGTTGAAATTCACTGTTGTACTGTCTCAGATTATTCAGAGTACCTGAAAGGAGTGTTTAAAAAACATAACTGTAGTCATGTATGTTAGTACCTACATTACCGGTCTGGTTTGCTGTTAGCTCTTTACAGTTTTCTACTATTGACATTCCACTGAAGTTCATGCCATGTTAGGATTTACCTGATGTTATTTGATAGCAGCCTTTTAACCTTGGTTGCTCAGCAACAGTCAAGGAGTTTCTTATTACAGGATATCATATTTTTTTTCTGCGGACTTTTAAAAAATCAAACAAAACAAGCCCCAAACTTGCACACTGCACAACAGTTATTTAAAACAATAGGCAGAAATAGAAATCGAGTATTTCTTCAAAATTTATTTTTCATATTTTATTTCTGAAATGAATAACATCAAACAATATACGTATTTTTGTACAAAATTGGCAAACACTTAACCCAATTTTTAGAAGAAAGTAACAAATTCCACCTAATGAATGTGTACAACTTATTCTTGAGCACTTGGTCCCAATTTATGTCATGTTCTAGTGTGCTATTTATTCAAGCCATTTCTTCTATTATGGTATACTTCTAAAGGACTGAGTCTAAGCTCATGCAAACATCAATAACGTAGATGATGAAGTTTTAGCTAAAAGCATGTAGTAACTGGCAGTAGTGAAAGCAAAACCTTCCCTTTTCAAGGCTTGATCTTTCATGGTGCTGAGTACTCTTGGCTCCCTCCTGAGGAGCCCTCGTGCGTTTTCCATCTATTTATGAAGCTTGTTTGCTTATATCCTTTACCACATTGGGACTGGGTTATCCACAAGCTGCAAGGTTGAGTCTCATGCCAATATCTCAGATGAACTCTGTAAAGTAAACCAAATTCATGGTATGACAAAGGTTCTCCTGAAGGAAAGATTTTTTGAATTGATCTTTAAACAAAACTCAAGTCATTTGAATTAAAACAGAAGTACTCTAGACAGCCATTTGAGTAATTTCTCTGTGAAGCAACAGATAATTAACAAGCAAACACTGGTTTGTGAGCTTAAATGAAGAGGAATTCCCTCCTCAAAGTGCTGCATACCACAGATCTCAGTCTATTGCCTATTTTTATGACCATTTTGAATGTAATGCTCTTCCCTGATTGTAAAGTGTAATTCATCACTGACAGACTAAAGGTTACAAATACCAATATATTACTTTTGATTTTAGTTTTCAAGAGATAACACTTACCAGTTTCAAACAGTACAATGCATTTCTTTTGAGGGAGGGAGGTATTTTAATTCAAAAGCTTTGTGCAAAAATCATAAATTAATGTAATGAATCATTTTAATTGACATGTCACATATCTAAAAGTATGAGAAATTAGAAATTGTGTAGTATGTGCAAAAATCCAAAATTTGTTACTGAATGTTAAAAGGTTTTCCTTTATTTTCATTCATAATAATACAGGCATTATTTAAACGGAAACCTGAATGTGTGTTTAGACTGGAGGAGTTGGGAAGGGGAAGAATGTTTTCCCTGACATCTTGTTTAAAAGACTTTTTAGACAGCTGCTTCAGACAGGTAGATGAATCAAAACGCTAGCTGAGGCTTTAATTTTAAAATATCTTGCTGCGTGTTTTTTATCAGTTTAAATTACATTAGAGCCTGGAGACTATCATTGATACAAGGATGTAATTTATTGTGGATATTGTACAGGCAGATCCTGTGAGAATCTCTGGTCCTTGTAAATGGGCCCTGGCGAGCAGAGCCCGCACAAGGGCCGGGGCTTCCCCAGAGCCGAGGGAGGATCAGCGGAGCCCTCAACACAGAGCGCAGGCCGTGGCGCGGTGTTCCCGCCGGGACCGCTCGCTGCATCTGCTGGTGGCCTTAGCTGCTCTCCTCCATTCCTGGCTTCAGGTTGCTTTAAAAGTTGGGATTCATGTCTGTGAGGCATGGCAGAAATGCTGCTTAAAATTGCAAGCCTCGCTGCTGTCATGGTATGTTGTATCTTCAGCTGGTTAGCAAGAAGGAAGGTCTATTTCACAGCAGTTGCCTGTCAAAATATCTTCACTACTCTTATTTTATCACTCCTCTTTTCTGAAATTACAATTTTAGAAGAAAATGAGGATTTTTGAAGATGACTATATGCTAGGTGGAAGCTCTTCAAGGGTAAATATTGATGCAAGTTTGTTGTCATTGAGGTAAAGTGACCCACATCCTTATCTACTTCAGAGTGCTGTTGTTGAACTATAGTGTAACTAATGGCATTAACATTTCTGTTTTAAAGATACCCTGTGCGTTTGAGCTATTGAGGGAATGTATATATTACTTTGAAAGCTTTGAAATATGTCTTCCAGCATATTCTCAGAAAGAAGGGAGCTAGCTGAAACTAGCTTGTTTGAAAAAATGTGCATTTCTGGTTGTTGAAGCCATATGTGCTATGGTACTATTTCTTGTGTAAACTTGAGTGCTCACCTTCTGGTGCTATGGTATGTCTGCTAACTATCTGATGTTAGTATTGCTACTCTTTCCTCCTATGTCTTCTTGAATGTATAACTTGTGCCTTTTAAGTTACTCTGGTGTTAAATGGTAAAGCAGTGCTATAGTATTTTTGTATATAAAAACTGCACTTTAGGGAAAATCTTGCTTGGAAAGCAAATTTCCAGAAGTAAACTTTTAAGATTTTGAAATAGGGTTTACAGTATTAAATATTTTAAGGCAGCATTACAGGCAAGGGGCACTTTATTTAATATTTTTGTATGTAATATTTTTGTTATCATCATATAGCCAAAAATAGAGCCACAGATATATGTTGCAGAAATAACTTTTTTTCTATCAAGTTTATTTGAAAGAGCCAAATACAACAACTTTAACTATAGTACTAGCTCACCAGTGGAACCCAATTCTGTATTAAAAGCGTAATTGCTTGCATTATATAAGTTTGATTCTGGTTTGTGCTTTACACAGCTACTTTGAATGTTCACAACTTTTCATTCTGTGCTTATCTCCCAGTTCAAGCAATTATTGGAAGTTGTGAAAATATTGTGTGTGTGCCTGTTTCATCTCAAGAACATAATAGAAAGTGAGCCCGAGAATCAAAAGGAAAATGCAGTAGAAGAAAGGTTCAAGTAGTGTAGTTTTCAGTTTATTTATCTATTAAAAACCGAGAAAAAAAATCTATGTTAAATATATTTTTTAATATAAACCATAATGCTATGTCGAACACGTTTGGAAAGTCCATTGTTATTTCTGAAAGTGTTTGCAAATTTATCTCAAATGCCTAAAAAGGTAATAGTTTTGGTACTGGAAATGTACATTAAAAATAGCTGAATAATGAAATTATTTTGGAAAACAAATTTTTTTCCGTACAGTTTTTTATTATCATATTAATTTCAATGAACATTTTATTAAAAGACTTAAGCAGTGCAATATTATATTACATTTAGTTTCTGTACCATTCTATTGGAAAAAAATCTTTATCATGCTCAATGTATGTGATGGGAGAGATCTTTGTGTTGTTGTGTTGGCTTTGCCACAGTGTTAATCAAACTGTCAGCAAGGAACAGGAGTGCAGCTTTGTTCTTGGGAACAAGACAATCACATTTGGACAGCTGCGTCTTTCCAAATTGGATGACAAAATGTCTATTATGTATTTAATTCCCCTTCAAGTCAGTACAGTGTAATTAATGCTTTTAAATGAAACCTGAACTCAAGGCTGCAGATTTAAGCAGCCTAGAGGAATCAGGTGCTTGTGTCCATGTTGGAATGGTAGAAAATGGCAGTGATTCAGCAACTCATCACTCCCGGATGCACCTTGCTGTGTAGGAATGTCCATGGGAAGGAAGGAGGCCAGGGGAATGTGCTGGGCACTCTCCTTTTGGGATGGATCCGTGCTAACAGCCAGGCCGTGCTTAGATGTAGAGCGAACGGTAAAGGCAGGAAACTTGAAATTGTTTAAGATTGTCACTGTGTTTATAGAGAAAACCTGCAGCTATAATGAATGTCCAGAAATGTGTGTTTAAAAAAAATGCTAAAGCAGCAGACAAAAATAATTTATTAACATTAATTTCCCAATTATATAGGGTGGTTTTTTATGCTATGGTTTGCTAACCATTGCTTTCATGGAGAGTTGTGTTGTAAGACTTCTGTGCCCTGCCTCAAGTAAATCCTTATTTATGTTGTAATTCTACTTTCATGAAGAGACCCCTGCTCAGCACTTCCTTTCAGAAACAGATATTTTATTCTTTAGTAGCTAATAAACATTTTTCTTTTACATTGCTTTACACTGCTTGCATTTTCCTTTCTAACTTTGAACTTTCCTCTGTGTGGCTGCCTTTGAGGTACTGTCAGGTATAGTCTGGCTTTGTTTAATTTGCTTCTCCAGAATGTGCATGCAATTAAACAGTCTCAAAGAGTCCCCATCAGCACCATTCCATCTGTAAGCAGTCCTTGTTTGAATGCAAATGTTGTTAAGTAATTAATTGGTAGCACATTGAGGCATTTGTTCTGTGATGTATGATGTTAACCATCATAAATGCTTGAAACTGATTTTTTTTCTTTCTTTTTTTTCTTTCTTTTTTTTTTTTTTCCTATTTAGGAGATGAAATTTATCAGGACATTTTTCGTGACTTTTCTCAAATGGCATCAAATAATCCAGAGAAGCTAAACCGTTTCCAGCAGTCAGATTTACCGAAGTCCTAAGTGTCAAGAAGAAAAAGAACCAAACCTGATCCTTCTCTTAGAGTGCAAGTTTTTCGTCCTTTTGTTCTTTTTTTTTTTAATGGATGAATTATATACATTTTGCTAAGTATTTAATAGTTTGAATAAATTGACCACTCCAGTGTAGCTTTAGACTGTGGTAGCTGGGGAAATAAATGTCTTCTGGGGAAATGTTGCTCTACAGTCCATATACCTCAGCAGTTGAAGAAAACGCTTTAAAAAAAAAAAAGTGACAAAATGATTAGATGGCCTTTGCTACTGGGTATTTGCTGCCGTCAACAGTCTCGCTGTTGCCATAAAGAACAGGCCTCCGGCCAAGAAATCTTAATTGTTTTTTTTTCTCAGTCTATTTGAAAGGGAAATCGGATAGTAACTTACTGAATTGTCCTTTGATTTGTGAGCCCATTGATTACCAGATCTTGTTCCCACACTGATCCTGGTTAGTGGTAGACTGTTAATAACTAGACATAGTAACTTAAGCTCTTCTGCAAGCTCTTTTTTAGTGCAAACTTTACCACCAGGCTGGCCTTTATGCTCGTGACTGCGGGCCAGTCACAAGAGGTATACCTGGAAGGACCAAATTTCTAAGAGCAGTCTATTTTCGTTTTTTAATTTCTTGCTGTGAAGGAAGCTTTTTCTTTTAGATGAGCGTGCAGAGAAACGGAAAAATAAATTTGATCCTGCTGGCTGTGATGTGGGGTTTTTATTTTTCTTTTCCCCTCATCTAGTATCTTGACAGTAACATTAGAAACTTGAGATATAAGAGTAAATATTGAGCCAAAGGACGTTTTGTGCAGAGTTGTCATGTGAAGGCTGTGTGTCAGCTTTTCCCTTTGCTGTTCTCAGTATTAGCACAGAGCCAGCTATAACTAAAAGCACTTGTGTAATGCAGACATCTTAAATTTAGGCCAGTTGACTCTCTTTATCACAGCATTTATAATATAATCTGAAAAACTGTATATACATGCTTGTTCCCTAAGGCATGCAGAACAAAAAGGGAATTTACCAAGTAACGAGTGAGCGTAGTCCCCAGCAGTACTTACTCTGAGGGCAGCAACCCAGGATTTTTCAGTAAGCTTCACTCTGCAGATGCGCATGCGTCAACGATGTCTGTAGAGATATACTCATGTATGAAGATACTTAATATCTAGATAACAATCTCCTGAAGCTCCAAGCCAGCAGATGCAATTCTTTATGCTCTATTTGTTTTGAAAATTTTGGAATAATTTTTAGGTAAAGTAAAATCAATGTGAATTTTTTTTATATAGTCCTTATGAACCATAGCAGTGTGCTAGCCTGCTGTTCAAGTGTATTTGGGAAATGAGCAATCATTTTTCTCAAGCTGACTTAGCCAAAATGGGTTTTTGTAAATTGTGGTAAAATTAAACTTTCTAGCATGTTATTTGTAACAAACTATTTTATGTATTTATCATTTTGCAGCAAATGTATAACAACACATCAAATATGGATGATTCTTGATGCTGAACTAATGGCATTTTAGAAGTATTTTGATAAATACTTCTTCCAAGTAGAAGCATCTTACAAAACAGCTCTTGCTTTGTATATGGTATAATTATGCCGTGAAAAGCTGTTTCTGCCCATTTAAAAAGTGCATTTACTTTGAGTATTAAGAAACTTAATCTCATCTGCAAGCGGTAACTTCTAATAAGCTGTTTTTAAATACCTGTGTATGAAATGTATCTGATTTGTGAGTCCTCATGTGTAATACTTAAGAACAGTAGATCTTTAGTTACTAGATCTTAGGAAACAAAATTCCCAGTGTACAGATGGGACAATGTAAGATACAGCTATGTATAGCATAGACTTTAAATATATAGTGTTTTCTAAAGATTCATGTCTCCTGTAGCCTATGTGACAGGCAACATACATGGTGATCGGCTGTACTGTAAAGCTTAATGGCATAATCAGTCTCTGACTCCATGGGAAACCATCTCAGAGGTGCGTTTGACCTTGGGGTGATCGACCTGTTCATGTTCAGTGGCCTGCGCTTGATCTGCAGGTTTGCTCCTCTTTCCAGGAGCTCTGGAGCTGCAGTGATTCGGGGTGGATGTGACGCCCTTGAGCCTGCAGGCTCCTTCCCTGCCCCTTTAGGTACGCTGGGATACCTGGTGTGAAATGCACCCGCTTGAAGCGTTTCTCAGACCAGGCGCGACACACGCGTTAGGATGTTCCTTGTCAGCAAAGTGAATATGCCATTAAGCTGTGAAATGCATTGAGGGTTTGTTTCTGTCGGCCAGCGGCAGGCTCAGGGCTCCAGGGCCCCTGTACTCTGCAGAATGCAGCCCTTGGGCATAGAGCACATGTCCGAGTCTGTGCCGAAGGGTGGGAGTTGCCTGTCAAGTTCTAGATCAAGATCTAGTGTTCTGCTGAGTAGTACTAGGAAACCTCTGTTTTTATTACAGTATGAATCTGAATATAACTTGAATTCTAGGTAGAAAAGCTCTGCTCTGTGTTAACCTCATCTTGTACCATGTACTGGCTCATGGGAAACTTCAATTCCAGTTCAGGTTTCTCTGTAGGCATGAAATATAATAGCTTACAATCAGTGGGATGCAAAACACTATATTCTTAATGTAACTTAAAATAATGAGCATTCATAGGGATTTTCAATAACTATACCATATAAGTCACAAATGGCTTTTATTATGTTCCTCCTAGTCAGGCCTAGATCAAGTGTTCCTGAAGTCTCCTGGAAAGACAAATGTGTAAGAGCTCAACATACTCCCTAACCTCTTGATTTCAAAGGTTTAATTTACTTATGTTGCATGTTAAGTTTTGACATCTGTGTTGTCTCATTAGTGGTCTATACTGTTTTGATCGTTTGATTAGGTTTTCTATTTTATGGAATGATACCCTATTTTCTATCGGTACTGTGCATATAAACATAGATATTTCTGAATTACCGTACTGAAAAATGCCACTGAATTATGTTTGACATGGAAATTGGTTCCCATTTCATGTTTGAGTGACATGGTTGTCTATAGAAGTCTTTGCTTTCACAAGCTGCACATATTGTAGTTTGCACATACATTCCTGTTCATTAATACATTGTAGATCTTGGCTTCCTTTCCTCCCTCTACCGATCAGGATAAAATCCAGCAAGTCACCAAAATCAGTGGCAGTTCTTCCACTGTTTTCGGAGGCTTTGCATTGTACCTTATAACCTTAGTGTGTTAAAGGATCCTGTTATTAATAATGTATTTTCTACTCCCTAGAGGTCTCTATTTAACCTGTTTATGTGCAGAGCTGAAATAGCTTTAGAAAAGGGAGCCAGCCTTCCACCTGCTGCCTGCACATCCTCCAGTACAACAGGAAGTTTCTGCTGTTTTGCATTAGGATGTCAGTGCACAGCATGTTATCAGGGTTCTTTGAATGAGCAAAAACTTTGCAGTACTAAAAAGGTGAGAAACTTGGGTAGGCAAAAGACTGCCTATTCCCCATGGCTGCAGAAAAGTACCACACTCCTGCTTTAAAGTGTGCCCATTAACTTTGCATTTTAATAATGCAGAATATCTAACTGGCACAGTGACTAGGAAAGGATCGTTTGATGGAATTCAAAATAACTCATGAACACCTGATATGCGGGGAGCACTTTTTTATGCTGTTAAACCGATTAAGCTAATTCTTGATGTACTGAGTATTTGGGAAGTCAGTTTTGAAAACTCCGCGCTGTCCCTTCGCACACCCGGACTGCCCCCTCGTGTCCCTGTGCTCTGCCCACGAGGCAGCACCCGGGCAGGGCCCTGCTGGGCAGAGCCTGCTGCTCCCCCTTGGGTCTATCTCTTTCTCCTGCCTCGCTTCCCAGGACAGAGGAGCAAAGCGCCTGCCCTCTTTTGTATTTTCATCCAAGATTTCCCATGTTTTGATGGAAACTGCTGGGACATCTTTGTTTCCTCATGCTGCCCTGTCCGTCTCTTCGGAACACATGCTCTTTTCTCCACCTTCCTGCCTCCGCCTTAGCCGTCTCCCTGTACAGCCTCAATCCCGGAGCACCCGTGTGCAGAAGGAAGCTGGAGCTCCTGCCCCTCGGCCTTGGATGCAGCCTGTCCCGGTGGAGGAGGGAGGAACCTCTCTGCACCGCGTGTAGCCGCGCGCCTGTACAGTGTGTAAGGACTGTAAATACCGGACTCCATTAAACCTGGGTACCTTCCCTGCGCTCCCGCCGCGCCTCTCTCGCCGG